GGGGCGGGGGTCGGCGGTGATACAGATTCAGCCAGCGGGGGAGGCAGATGTCCCAATAGCCAGCAGACAGTTGATAACTGTGACTTCTATGACGTAACACTCACATAAGATAAGGACTCCAGTGACTATTGTTTCTTTTAAGAACAATGGTTTCCAGTTAACACATGGCACAGAGTGTGAAATGATGCAGAGCACTGACCTGCATATAATACACACACACATGGAATTAAAGGATTATGAGGACACCGGATGTCCAAACGCTGCCAAAGTGTGAACCCGCAGAGATAATAAAAGTGCGGGCGGCAGCAGTGCTAGAAATGGAAAGGATTACAGCAACGTTGCGCCACACAATCCTGTGTGCCAGCAGCCTCGCCACAAAAGCCCAGCAACATCAGACAGCCTACACTATAAATCCCATTTGTTTCTGCTGGAAAAGGATCTGGAGTAATATAGCCACCACCATCCCATCTCTAGAAATATCAAGATCAAAGGCTCAAGATAAAAGAAAGATGAAAGCAATAAAACAATATACCTTCTTAAAAGAAAACAGATAATTATGCATATATAGGGTGTCCCAAAAAAATGTATACACACTTTATAGCTGATAGCTCAATTGATGTTTCTTTCTTTTCAGATTTAACCCGTTGAAATTAATAATTATTCAAAGTGGGTATACATTTTTCAAGGATACCCTGTATATTAACACAAATGAGCACTAAGGGGGGGAAAGAATGAGACAGATAAATTAACTGGTAATAAGTACACTCACAAATCCTAAATCCTCAGGTTAATGGAGTTAAGCACAACCCACAAAAGCCCCAGTCCTTACAATGACATCTCCACCTAAAGGTGACGACCTCCAAAGGACACTGATAGGCTTCCTGGTCCCAGAGAAGCAGAGGAAAGGGCCTGGAATGAGTGTCTCCCATGACCTCCACTTGGACCCTCACACAGCTACCATCGCTCATAGCCGACTGCTGGTAAAAAGCCAGCAGAGGGAAAACAGGGAAGCTTTGGGCAACCATGAGGGCTTGGGAGAGACCAGGGACCACAGCACTGACCCAGAAGGCAGGTTCCAGAGCCGTCAGACACTGTGCACACAAACCTTATCCATATTCTATACGGTATTCTGCTGGTGGCAAAAGGATGCTAGGGGACCTACCATAGAGCACCACAATCAATACAAGCGCAAATGCTTCAGGGATATTTCCAAATAGTGCAGAAGTTTAAAGGTACACTGGAAACTTTTTAAAAAACTAATGTATGCTTAGTATAGCCATAGAATTTGAGGCTCCTAAAGGGATGTTAGAGATCTTCCATTCGAGTCTCTTTTTTAAATAGGGCAAAGCAGTTAGGCAACTTGACTACAGTTAAAAAACAAGTTAGTGGCAGAAGCAGGACCTGACTCTCCCCACAGTTTGTTCTACACTTTTTCCACTCAGGGAAAGTGACCTTGAAAACTGGTCAGATGACAAAGGCACAATTTTATTGGTCACGGTAACAGCAAGCAACACAAGTACGCAGGAATAGTTTCAGTAAGAGCAAAGCGTGAAGAGGATAAAAGCCTTAATGTATGCATTTTTTTAACTAACATTAAATTATGGAAGCCCTTGCTTTAATCTGAGTTTTAGTTGGGAATCCGATGCTTCAATCCCAGTGAAATCTATGCCTTGCGTAGCCTAATTTAAAATGTAAGGCCAAACAGATCTGGAAAAGTACAGCCTATCCTTGTACTTAATTTATACTATAGTGTGCTGTAATTAAGCCTGAAATAAAAGCTATATTCTGAGTAAAGACAAAAAGCTCTTGTTAATGGCATTCCATTCCTAATGGAGAACAAAACAAAAGCCTTCTTCATCTGGAGCCAACCGTCATTATAGCTGGTAGCTTGTATGGGGCTATTGGACTAATATTTGTACTGGGATTAGTGTTGGGATAACCAATCAGTTAACTCCTCCACTGCAGTCTTCTATTATCCTCAAATAAATGGCCAAAAGGCAAAGAAGAAAATTGGCAGGCAGAACGACAACTGTATTTATGAGATTAAACTCTCAAACCCTTCACAGATTGCCGGGCAACTAATAAACCATTTGCCAAGCTGTTCATTTAATAATGAGTCAGTTAAGCCAAAAGCAAATGTTGCTTCAACCAACCAATGCTACTAGCATCACAGCCATGCTGACAAGCCCAATTATTTATGTGATGTCCTTCATTTAAAATAAGAAGTACAAGTTGCAAGGTACAAAAACAATAAACTCCTCTCATTGGCCAAAGGCAAGCTACAATGCAGTATTCTGAGTAACTGGAATTTGTAGGTGATTTTGTAATTTATGAAAGCCAAAATGACCAATGTGTTGTTTGGGGCGTAATTCCTATTTGTGTCACAATTCTAGATGAAGGCCAGAAGCTCCCCATCCAACCCTGCACTCAGTATGACATGACCCTAGATCACCTAATTGAGTCTGTTCCCTTGTTTTATAAAGCAGAGTTTCAACACTGAGACCATTCCCACCCAGGAATTATAAGGACTGAGAAAAATACTGTTTGTCAAAGTAAAGTAAGTTGTACATTCTACAACACAATCATAAGGTATGGTATAATTAATCAAGGGAGGAAAAAGTGGTGTGGGCTGCATTCTAAGAAATGTATGTGTCAAAAGAGGAGATCACAATGGAATACTATGCAGCCGTAAAAAAGAAGGACCTCTTACCCTTTGAGACAACATGGATGGAACTGAAGAGTATTATGCTAAGCAAAATAACCCAATCAGAGAAAAACAAATATAACATGATCTCACTTATCTGTGGAAACTAATGAAAAAAATAAAATGACAAACAAAACAGATCCAGAGACATGGAAGCAAGCAACAGGCTGAGGATTCTCTGAGGAAAGGAGTTGGGGGAGGGCAGGAAGAGATCAACCAAAGAACTTATATGCATAACCCATGGACAAAGACAATAGTGTGGTGAAGGCCTGGGGAGGGGACAGGAGTGAGGAGGAGGGGATCAATGGGGGAAAATAAAGGGGGGACAGCTGCAATACTCTCAATAATAAAGATAAATTTTTAAAAAATAGGCAATCACACCAAGCTGCCTGAGCTCTCTCCTCTCCTGCTTCTCCCACCCATTCCACAGACCCCCACTGTAAGTTAAGAAAAGCAACCAGCAGGTATCCCCTTTACTTTTACTTACTAATAGTTCATCCATACTGGTCTGGCATTTCTCCAAGTTGATCCGCTTTATTGCCACACGTTCTTGCCGGGGTTTGCACAGGGCAGCCTGAACCACAGCAGTAGCTCCACTGCCTGAAACAAAATGAAAACATCAGATATCAAATGGCACACTGTCTGGCAACTACTCATGACTCCCTTCACAAATATCTTTTTTTTTTAAAAGGTCTTCTACTCAAAGTATTCAAAACATTACTATTTGACATCTTTTTAAAGAATTTCTTAAGTATGAAAATAATTATCTGGAGGGAGAAAAAAAGAAAAAAAACTGGACTTTTCTACAGGATATAAAGAGAGTGCTAAGGCTCACAATCCAGGAAGGTGAGCCCATCAAAAGAGCCCACTTCGATACGGCATGTTTACTGCCGCCTAGAACAAAGGCTGAGAAAGTGGTGGGTCTCAGGAGGCAGGGACAAGGGACATGAGCATCTAAGTGCAACCCTGCATGGAAGCCATTACCACCCTCGAGTCCTGATATTTTCTAACTTCAGTGCCTTATACAAATCTCAGGCTCTTCTTCCACTTCAGCCCAAACCAAACCACTTCAGCCTGAGCTACTTCAGGGTTTCCACGAGGTGCTGTGACAGCTAACTTATCTGCTCAGAGCACCCTTGGAGCTTATTTCTTCTGAGCTTGCTCTACAATTAGCAAAACAGGAATCAACCTGAGTATTCTCATGTGGAAAGCATGACTTTCAAGGATGTCAAGCAAAGCGATGCAAATGTATAATTACAAAAGCTCTCGGCATTCACGTGAATTTCCTGTTCCTAAGGTTTCAGGATCGTTAGCTAATGCTCTCAAACTCCTAGGGGACCCAGTCACGTCGGTATTCATATTTTATAAGAGCAAAATGTAGACATGAAATGATTTGTGGCAGAGCACAAAGAGCTCCTAATCGGATTTATATTCCATAGGGGCAAAAAAGACCTCGAGGTTAAGGCATCTCAATTCTGCAAAGAATACCGAAGATCTCATTCTAATCACATAAATCCTCTGCCACTCTAAGACTGCCGATGAGAACAGCCCTGTGCAGGACCATGCTAAAGGGGCCGGGTGTGACCATAGACCTTTTTCCTTAAAATTTTTTTTCAGGTACTATTTCCCAAATGAGTCATCAAATATCTGCAAAAGGTAGGAACATCTTTTGGCAATAAGGAAGAGATCAGCATTAACGTTCCTTACACATGTGACAGAAAGGCGGAATATTTCTGGTCCAGATCAAGGCTTTCCCACCCCAAGGAAGGGGGCCCGAATGGCTGTCTGTAGAGCTAAAGTTCTGCCCTTTCTCCTGCCCTGTTTCTCCTCATCAGCTCTGGCCCCCTGCCCCAATGACTCAAGCAGATCACCCTAATGCTCCAAACCCAGGTCTCCATGGTCAAGACCCTGTTCTGGGAAGTCCAATCTGTGTTCGCTGGGGGAGAAAATCCACAGGTGCTGACCTGCACTGCACAGTGGGAACTTTACTCAGACAATTCTCCTTCAAGCCTTATGCTTTTTACTAGCCTCATTTTATATATGAGAAAACCGGGACTCAGAAAACTTACCCACACAATTGATAAGTACCTGAGCTGAGACCTAAGTCAGGTCTGCCAGACCCCAAGCTCCAGACTGTTTCCTACTTCACACAGGCCAGAGCAAGCGCTTCCCTTCCTCCCTCGTTCTGGCCTTGCTAAGGGAGTATTTTCTACTGTCCTATATGGTTGAAGAAAAGAGACACAACTGAGAGGGAAGATTCGGGTGAGCCTCACTCTCTCCAGAGTTCAGTCCCGTGAGCAAGTGCTATTGTCAGAGGCTGCTGAAAAAGGCCTCCCTGTCCCTAACCTCGCTGCCTGCTCCATCAGCTGCTACTCCCAGTCCCATTGGATTGGCCTCACTGGCCCTGCAGATCACAGCGTGCTGGGCTCCATCCAGAATGCTCCAGATACCAGTGCCAAACACTACAAAGAGCCCTGCTGATAACAAAGTATATTTTCCAGGCAAGGTCTCCAGAACAGGAGATTGTTGCTGAAGGAGAGGCACAGAAAGTGACAAGGAACTAGTTAGCACTGGGTCTGGTACCCAGCAGAGAAGTCAACAAACATCTTTAACCAGCTGCTGATGGGAAGCCAGTCTCAGCCCTACCTGTTATAAATCTCCCTCCGACCCCACCTTTCCAACCTTAATCCACATTCCAGAGCATTCTCAAATCAGGGGAACTAAAATACAGGAAAAAGAAAACAAATTCCCAGAAAGGATAAAACAAGTGCATATAGAATGGGGCTACCTCTCATAGTCAAGACCTTGGCTGAAAAAGCACCCCAACTTCCACAGACACACGCAATATGGACACACCTAAGAACTCTACAAAGTGGGAGGGAGTGGTGGGGGAACACCTTTACTAAGAGCTAGACAACTAGAGAACTGTTATTGCTTTACAACTACAGCTGACTGAAGAACAACTGGCAGCATCTCATCTCCAGAGAGAATAAATATGAAACTTCATGACCTGAGATTACTGTCAGTGTGTGACTGGGATTAACCATTCATGGGACAATTTGGGAGATCCTGCTTGGAATCCAAAGATTTTCTTCAACTAAAGAGAGATTAAGAACAATGTCAGAGGGGCAGGGAGCCTTAAAGACCATCAAGTCCAACCCTTCACTTTATGAATGAAGAAGGGAAGGGAAGAGACCTCTCACCAGAAACCCAATCGGCCAGCACCTTGGTCAGGACTTCCCAGCCTCCAAAACGGTAAGAAATAAACCATCATTTAAGGCACTCATTCTTTGGCATTTTTTACAGCAACCCAAAATGACTAATCCAAAAGCCTTTCATTGTCTATTCTAAGTCACTGCCCCTGTCACCCGTGGTAAATAATGCCACACAAATCAGAATTTTGCAAAAACCTCCTAATTAAGTTGACAGCAATAAGAGGCAAGGTTCAACTGAAGGGTCTCTAGTAGGCATTGGAGTTCCAAAGTCTTAGATTAGCAAGACCCTTGAAAAGCAGGTTAGACAGGGATTCTATCCAACCCTGGTACTGATTCCCTCTGTAATATTGGGCCTAATTTCTCTCCAAGCCTCGGATTCCTCAATGGGCATAATAAAATCTACTTGTAGATTAGATTTAACGCTACATAAAATTTCATGATGTTGATGTACCACAATTTACTCAGCCCTTCTGCTGATGAGCATTCTCTTTATTTCTAGTCCCCCTCCATACGAACCATGTAGCAATAAACATTTGGTACTTTTAAAAATATAGATTAATCTACAAACATTTATTTATGTTAGAGTTAGGACATAAAGTGGCTCACTGTCCAGTAAGCCATAATATCAGAATTTAAAAAATAAACAACAACAAAAGGTATTCCATTAGCCTCTGACATGAATGGTGGCCAGGGGAAGAAAGTCCTGTCATCACACCCTACTTAAATGAGGAGCTCCAGGCCAGGAGTTTAATAAGCATTAGCCCATCTCCTGAGCACATGAAAGGACTCTAATGATACGCTTACCTGTCCTTTCTCAGTGAATAGTCCAGGGCTGTCTCAGGCTTTCTCTTTGGAGGTACTGGCTGGTGGCGTGTAGTAAACAAAACCAATGGCTTTGGTCCAGCTGATGATTTCTTCCAGCTTTCTCTTTACCCAACTTACTCTATGTGCTCTATTTATATCATGTGTCCAACCTCAAAGCCCCTGCAGCCAACAAGGTCACATGAGGGCCAGAAGCTGGCCAGGGTGTGAATGGACACTCGTGAGCTCCGCAGGGGCACAGCTGCTACTCTGTGTCTGCCCATTGTCGCTATGTGAGATGGCTGACCTAGTGTGGCAAGAGTCTGATTTTTGCAGGAAAGATGAAAATCCAGATTTTCGTGTTAGATCCCCTAATATGATAACACTAGCAATTAATTTTTTAAACATTAAAATATTGTGAATCACATAAAAGCTTACTGTAGGCTGCAAGCTGCCTCCCTGTGTTACTGCTATTTGGCTTCAAAGGTATACCCTTCCTTACTGGATGGCCCAAATTTTAAATTATTTACTAGATTACACATGTGAAGTAGCCATTATTTTAGATAAAAAATCATCACATTTCCTATGGTTCAACATAACATGTTGAAAGGCATTCAGGTCATGGGCCCAAACTGGTTTACTACATGTCACCAACCTGTCTGGAAAAATGGAACACAGACTTCATGGACACACCGGGCTGGGCACAGGAAGGCCACAATTCTCAAGGCGGCTACAAACAGGTGACCGTCCCTAGTGACCTGGTTTGTGTTACATCCAAGCTAGCTGAGTTATGTCTTTCTGTCTCCATCAAAAGAACCGGTTAGTAGAGCTTCCTTCTGGGGTTGCTGGAGCAGATTTAGAGCTTACCAAAAAAATAAATAAAGACCAGGGTGAGGTGAAGACGTGGCCGCTCAGTGAATGTACTTACACTTCACCACTGACCTGGATAAATCACCTCACTTGGGAAAGCTTCGCTTGTTAATACCTTTAGAGAGCACAGACCTCACCAAAGAAAATCAGCACCTGTATAGTTCAGCAAGAAGCATCCGATAGCACAGAAAAACAGAAAGCAGCCTGAGGTTCTGATCATAAGAGAGACAGAGGAAAACTGGTGTGTGGGATGGAATTGGAATGAATGAAATGTCAATAAACTTACCTTGGACGTCAAGTAACATCTAAACCAATTTTAAAAAAAAACAAACAATTTAAAAAAAAAAAACCCACCTATCCTACCCTTACTAAAATCTGTAGGGAGTGGATTGGAATTATGTAACATAAAGAAAATCATTAAAGAAGTTATTAGGAGGCACGGGGAAATTCTAAGCACCAGGTTAAAGGGGAATGGCTTGTATGTGATAAGGAGCTGTTAAATAACAAACTCTAATCTCCATCTAATTCAACATGATTAATATTGGGATTTACTCCTAGTCATTTTTTGTTTATTTAATGATACACAGTAGCTAAAAAACCACTCTGTGAATATATTTACTTGCCAGTTAAAAAACAATTGCCCTAGCTGGTCTGGCTCAGTGGTTAGAGAGTCGGCCAGCAGACTGAAGGGTCCCAGGTTCGATTCTGGACTAGAGCACATAGCTCGGCTGCAGGCTCCATCCCCGCTCCTGGTCAGGGCACGTGCGGGAGGCAACCAATCGATGTGTCTCTCTCACATTGATGTTTCTCTCTCTCTCCCTTCCACTCTCTCTGAAAAGCAATGGAAAAAATATCCTCGAGTAAGGATAAAAAAACAAACAAAAAACAACAATTAAACCAAAGAGCACTCAGAGGTAGACCCTTCAAAGGTGAAACTGTACTGTAGGATTCTAGTCCTAATGTTGACACTGACCAACACAAAACTTGGAATAAACATATAAATGCTGTCAGTGAATATGCATTCATTTTTTAAGAAAAAGACTATCCTATTTTGATTGGGCAGTGGGGGAACCCAGCTGTTGACAACCTAGTCCCATGGACTGGCTATGAATCACCTGAGATGCTACCTTCTTTAACAACCACGAGCAGAGTTAGTCTCCTAAAGATTCACTACTGCCTCACCATAGCACT